TTTTTTTTTTTTTTTTTTTTGAAACGGAGTCTACCTCTGTCACCTAGGCAGGACTGCAATGGTATGATCTCGGCTTGTTGCAACCTCCTCCTCCCAGGTTCAAGCGATTCTCCTGCCTCAGCCTCTCGAGTAGGTGATATTACAGGCACCTGCCACCATGCCCAGCTAATTTTTGTATTTTCAGTAGAAATGGGGTTTTGCCACGTTGGCCAGGCTGGTCTCGAACTCCTGACTTCAGGTGAACCACCCACCTCAGCCTCCCAAAGTGCTGGAATTACAGGCATGAGCCACCACACCTGGCCACATGCCACTCTTACACAGAGGGAAGTAGAAAAGGAAGGGGATAAACTTTCAATGAAAAGGCAAAGTAACTTGCCCTCAGTTTCCCCATCCACTCTATGCCATTGATTGGAATGAAACAAAGGCTTAACTTTTCTCTCCTTACCGCTCCTACCAACTTATCCACAGAGAACCTGCCAGCTTGCCAGCTTTTCTGTCTCCTAGAGGCAGCTTCCCAAATGCATCCTGTTCAAACAAATAACTATATATTTGAAGAGGACATTATTTAGGAGCTGGTACAAAGAAATGAATAGAATGCTGTTTTATTTTTTCAGTAAGGATGACAGAATAACCCATTGATGTCACATTATATAGGATATAGGGACACATTAATGATTTTTCACATTACCTACTTCAAACTGACATCTCTAACTTTCTGCCTCAGATGGAAAAAAAGAACATGTTTCCACTGCTTTCTAAAATAGTTTCAGTGCAAATGCACAGGTTTGAATCATGTGTACTAAGGAGTGTACGCTTCTTCTAAAGACAGTTAAAATTTTTATCATATTTGGAGGGATACTATCTGATTAAAAATCGCAACAGACTAGAAAAAAATTGCAACAGACTAAACAAGTGTTCTCTCAGCATGGCCTTTCACAGTTAAGTCAGCTTGTGTCATACACAGGTAAGACTGTCCATACAGCATTAAGAAGAATTCCTGCGGGTCACATTCCTGGGTAGAAAAGAAATTACATTTGGTTTCCCACAGGGTCATGGCTTTGTCAGGTGCTGCTGTTCGGAGCTCGCAGCTGTATCTGAAAGTCACAGCTTTCTTTCTAAATGGAACAGTTAACCATATTTCTGGATCAGGCTTCATTAAACCAAGTGAAATTGTTAGATAAAATCCTGAAACATTCTTAAAGATCTTCCCTTCTGGAGAATGGAATCAGGCAAATCTAATTCCTAGGTTCTGGGGTTTATTAATTAACTTCTTGAAGCTACAGTGTGCAACCTGACTGCTGTGTTGGTGAACTTAATTGTACACAGAGAGAACATATTTTCTTTG